TTAAAAAAAAAACTTCAAACATCTATAATTTGGGATTTCTTATCAAAATTATACACATAATTTAGGACTCAGGAGAGTTCCCATGACAAAAGAATCAGTTCTACCCAATTGAGCATTCGATTCTGTGCTATCTCAGAGTCCTCGCTTGTACACACACGGGTGAACATTTGTCTTCCAAACTGAACAAAAAATTGTTAATTATTAATGGAGATGGTGATGTTACTAGATGACTGAACTTAGCTTCTGTTAAAATATTGGCAACCTTGGAAGAGTTTCAGAAAATACTGTTTGCTGTGCTTTCTCTGACTAATGAGGTATTCTGTAATATGGTGGCTGAGTTAAAGATGTGGCCTAGATATAATTGTTTCATGCATGCATCATGCAAATAACCTAAGCTGAGTACCTTCAAATTTAAGATTTGGGATGAAATAATAGCAAGGGAGATATTTTAGCTATTTTATTATTTAGTGTAGCAGAGGGTGCTGAAGGAGAGAGGTATAGCTTATCTTCCTTTACTTTTTCTTTCCTCTTCTCTTCACCCTTTAGGAAAAAAAGTCTTCAATATCTACCAGATCTAGTATGAAATTGAGTGCTAAAAACGAAATATGTAATAATTATAAGTAATCTGTGCCATGGGATAAGGTAGTAGAAGATAGACATGGAATCACTTATATGTAGCAAAGCAAATCAATAGCATTAAGAGGTCGATAAAGGCATGGGAGTCTAAAAGTAAAAAACTGTCTTTGGAAGTTGTAGGAAATTGTCACATAGGAATTGATATTTGATTTTAATCCTGAATGGTGAGTGATCAGATACTAGGTAGAGTAGTGGGAAAGAAAGTATTCTAGGATTAAGCAGCAGCAAGGTTAGACAGATGACGTGACTGGATACCAGTTGAGAGGCTACTGCAATAGTTCAATATGAAAGCCAGAAATTTAGACATAGAAATGGAGAAAAGAGGCAAAGTTAGAGATTTTCAAAGGTATCCTTGGCAAGACTTGGTGTCCTCTTAGAAAAGTTTATGGGGAGAAGAGGGCATTAACGATAACTAAGTTATCTCATTTAGGTAACTGGATGATGGTATTATCAACTGAAATTGAGAACATGAGGACTTGGGAATTAGGTGGTTTGAGACAGTCTGCTGTTTAGCCAGTTTGTAGTGGTTTGCTTGTTTCAGTTCTTTATGAATGGCTGCCATTCTGATTATCATCTCTGATTAGTTGAAACCTGTGATGCTCTGGCTATAAAATATTTTAAATACTAAGCTTGGGTCAGTATTATAAATTGGATTTAGACATGTGAGTAAAATTTTGAATGTATATTGAACATGGAATTGAAAAAGTCTAGAACGAAGTTGAAGACATTATTCTGGAGTTTGGGATATAACTCAGGACTGATCTGACTCTATAAATTTAGGTTTTCTAGTCATCAATTTATAAATTGTGGTTGGTACCATTGTTGTGGATGAACTGTACAGGAGACATGTGTTTCATTCTGCTGAGAAGAGGCAATCTCCTTGCCTTTTACCATGCCCACTCCCAGATTTCCACTAGATTTGCTCTGTGAGCTACTTTGACCTCCGGTCCAATAGCAGTTCTCCTAGCCGCTACTGAATTTATTTGCCTCGAGCTGAATACCACAGACTGCCATTCTAATTATGTGCTTATATTTACCATGAAATCATTTATCCTGCCTACTCCCTAAGCATGCCTTTACCTCTCTAATCTTAGCTAAAAACACATTTCTCTGCTCACGAAGTGACCCCAGGGTTCTTCTCTTTCTGGCCCAAAGAATCCTAAAAGTCCTATCGATTCTATCTCCTTGATAGTTCTACAATCCGTTCCTTCCTTTCTTTGTCCACACTAAATATCTTATTTAAGCTCTTTACTAAGTTTATTTTTCCCACATGAGTATTTAGTTACTTCAGCGCTATTTGTGAAAATAATTTCCCAATTGATTATTTTACCTTGATTGACATTTTGAAGTCAGTCCTCCAGATTTGGTCTTATTTTCTCCAACTTGCTTTTGAAAAATGCTCACAGAGTTGTGTGTTTCCATAAACATTTTAGAATTTGAGAATTTGTGCAAAAATCCCTGTTTGAGCTTTGATTGGATTTATGTTGAATTAATGTAATAATTGTTTTTGAAAATGTCATTGCTCCCCTGAACACAGACTTTTTAGTTTGCTTTTTGCTTGACTTCCCTCCTGATCTCTTGGGAATCTAGCTGAATGATATTATCTTTACTCCTTCTTCTCTGAGTGCTCATTCTTATTAATTTCCTTCATTTCTTACCTTTTTCTAATGCTAACTTAGTGAGCATTTCTATTATTTCTTTAAGCTTTTTCTCTATTCATTGTATGTATTCCAGTGTTCAGCTAGGATAACTATCTGAATAACTACAATGTAAGTATCTAACTCCTAATCTCTCCTATAACTGCATTTCCCACTGAATGTGGGGCCCTAGATCAAGAATGACCTGCTGAAACTTCAAATTTAAAATTTCTGGGTCTCCATATTACATCCATCGTATTTTTATAGATTTTATCTTTACCATTTTCTTTCACATTTATCATAACTGCCCTTCCATTCCCACTTAACCCTCCCTAGATGCATGATCTCTCTCCATCCCTCAGCTTCTTTCTCTTTAACTTTGGCCTGACTGCCAGATCAACTTTCCTAAAGCTGCACTCTCACTATATCATTCACTTGAGTAGCATCTTATGATAGCTCTCATTACTTGCCTAGAGAAGACACAAATTCCTGAGTTTTAAGTTTCAAACAAGCTAAACATGTATAATCTCTTTTAATCATCATAGCAATTATGTCATTATCCTAAATTTACAGATGTGAAAATTAAGATTTAGAAATGCTGAGTGGTTTCCCAAAGCTACAGGGCTACTAAGTCACAGATAGTCCCACCCACTCTAATAATGACATCATTATACTCTTGGTTAGGGCAATAGTCAGAAAGAGGCTGATGTTCACAGCAGGAAAAAATATATATGAGTTGGGATTTCTGTCTATAGTTAATGCTGCGAAATGTAACTAATTAGTAGCTGAAGGAAGACATCTTTTTTATCTTTTTTGAATCATGAAAGGACCTTGAAATTCAAATCCAGTATCTTTCACTAGTCTGTTTTATTTCAACAGATACAAAAGGCTAGGTCAAATTAACAATGAAATAGTAGGGAGCATTAGTAACATAAATGTATATGTAGCTCATGAATAATCAATAAACTCATCGTTCTGGCTCCTCTTCCTATTAGCTTTTTAAATATTCATTGTACTCAGGAGATTTATAAATTGTCAAGCAGTGTCTTTTCTCAGAGAGATATATATATATATATATTATAGTCAAAATAGAAAGATTTACACTTTCCTCCTATGATCCTTAGTTTGTTCTAACTGGGATCAGACCAGAAAGAAGAAGGAAGGAGTCTTTAAAAGATCACAGGCTGATATATTTAGATAAACCTATACTGTGCAAATACGACATTAATGGAGTTGAGCTCCAAAGCAGCAAAATGAATAATTCCCTCAGAGTGTGTCACCTCCAGTAAGTCAAAGGTTTCTTTTGTTGTAAATAATGAGAAATTAAAATGAAGAGTCACTGGAAAAGGGAAAGATTTGAAATACAGTAACACTATAATTTTTGAAAATGGATCTATCTTTGTAAGCAGAGACAAAAAAAATATTCAAGTAGTAAAAAGACTCAAGAAAAGAAACCAAACCCTGCTTATTAGAGAGGACCGGGAGATCTGTGTTTTCTCAGACTGGTATTTTCTTCCCTTATAACAAAGAAAGAGATCAATTTTGCAACTGATGATGTAGGGATAATCGTGCAATACAGACACCTTTGTCAGATTTCTAAGTAATGGAAAATGTAAAACAACCAGGTATTAATGAAAAGGAATAATAGGCTCTGGTGCTTAATCCTGGACGATGGTTATTTGCCAATGGGTGGATTTGGAGTGGCTTACAAATGGGGAACTGCAGAAACAGAATGAGTTTTCAGCATCATTTGCAAATGCTTTTGAGTGACCAATGGAGAAGCCAATAGCAAATGTATATATAGTGTAACATAGTACTAGATTCACTACTACCATTGTGAAGTTTGAAAGAGTTGAAAGGAGGAAAATATTATCTCAAAGAGTAGTTTGTAACACATAATACAATATTGTACTGACTTTTCTCCCAGGAGGTAGGTCATGGGTTTCCTCAGATCAGTAATTTACAGATTCCTGAGAGAATTGTTCCTTCTCTTCTATAGTCATGAGTTTGGAGGGGTTGCTGCCATTATCATGAATGGCTGTTACAGCTTCTCACACGGTCTGTAGGAAAAGAGCAAGGCTGGTTGTGGAAACTAGGTGTTGAAGATAAAAGCGGTGGTAGAGTTTTCTGATCTTTTCTCACAAAAGTCATGTCAATACTGTTACATTCCCTAGTAGACAGATTATAAAATGGCAGTAGCAGTAGTAGTCCGACCTGTAATCCGTCTAAAGCATCCTTGATGTTTCAATGCCGAATTTACACTTGAATGCTTCTTTTGAATACTATTGCAGTGGTATGGTCATTTTCGACCTAGAGAATTTTGAAAACTGAGAAAAGGCTTATATCAAACCAAAATCCATCCCCCTGTGACTCCTGATAATTGGCTTAGCTTTAGCTAGTCAGAGAGCTGTTATGTCCTGCTCTTAATTTTTCATTAATCTTCCAGTACATACTCTAAAAACACCTACTTTCAATTACATCTTTAATAATGTTAAATTTTTCATCATGCTTGTCTATTCTTCCAATATAGAAGCATAACTAATATTTTATATAGTTTTAAGTTTCATGTCTTTTATGAAGTTTCTGAAGACCGTTCTAATCTCCACTGGAAATTCTTTCATTGAATCCTAGAAAGTCTAGTGTAAGGTTTATATAACATAGGCTTTGTGACATAGATATTTGGAGTGATTCATGCTGGTTTTCATAAAATCAAACAATACACTTCAGTAGCTTTACATAGTAGCTGTTTATTTTTCAAAATCCAATGTGGTAGTTGCTGGTTGGGTGTTTCTTCTGGGAATCACTTCTCCATTCAGTAACCAAAGAATGCAAGCTGCTTCTATTTCAGTGACTCCCATTCTGACTACAGAGCTTCCATGCCTGTGATAGGAGAATTGATGGATCATTAAGACATGGGAGTATTTTTACAAGTCAAGGTGGAAAATCGTATATATCATTTTCACCCACATTACACTCATCACAATAGTCACATGGCCCTACTTAGTCACAAGGTGCTTGAATGTAGTCTTCATCTGTTTCCAGGAGGTGAATTAGATGATTTGGTCATTCCCTGGCATTGTCTCTGCCACACATCGCCCCTTCTCTTCAAGCACATACAGTTCAGCTCAGGGAGGCAAGATGACCACAGCAAATGAGAGTATTAACAAAAAGGTATTAACATTTGAGAAAGTTTTCTGGAGTAAATAGGACCTGAACTAGCCATTGTAGGATGAGGAAGATTTTGACGAGTGCTGGGAAATGAGCCCAGCATTGCTGGCTAGGGGTCATATGGGCAAATGTGCAGAGACACGAAAGTGTAGGATGCTTTCTTGTTGGATAGTTGAATTTCTAGGGATCCTTATACTTAACACAGATTGATCTACTGCCCAGCACAGCACATGCTCATCCTCACTAGATATCAATTAACAAATTAATTACCCTCTTCCAGAGGCCCCTTCAGAATTCAAATTAATGCACATTGATTGCTGGGAATTGGCATTATGTTTAGTATAACTACTCGCCATTTTAACATGTACCTTTTATGAAAATGCAGTATCTTCACATGCACACACTTCAGATAAGATGACTTTATTTACTCGGCTTAATAAAATTGTCAGGCAATGCCTTCCTGCTCGTATCTGTAGAACTCATTTTAGTTGTATAATTCTGCTTTTCTAGTAAAAATTTTCACCTCTTCTCTGATTAGTACTCTGATACCGGATTGTATTACTCTTAGCATATTATGACACATATATAACAGAAAAGATTGTTTCAAAGAGTTTTTAATATTTTTAATATGAAAATATGCAAGTATTTACCAAAAATTAAAAAAGTAAACCTCACATATTGACTTAAAATATGCTAAATTTATTTTAGGTACTAAATTTAAGTCATCATTTCACAGAAAAGAGATACATATTTATATTCACTTCTCTAAGATAATACATAACTCATCTTTCTAAAACATGATCTTGCATGGATATCATTTTTAAATGTTACACAATTATAATACATTTCTAGTTTCTCAGTGTCCCTCCTCCTATCTTTTTATTGATAATCTAACAAGTTTCATTCTTGAAAGACTTAAGGAATTTCAGTTACGCTCTTCTGATGTTTTGACATTAGCTCTTATTTTCACATTCCAATCTGGAAAATATCCCAATGGCAACATCAGGCACATGTTTGAGGCAGGCATCTTTCTCATAGTGAGAATTTGCCTATGAATTCTGGTAAGATTACAAGAGCTTTTATTCTGCTTTTAATGTGGCCCTACAGTATTTCATGCACAGACCAGGGTAGAGCAATGAGAAACTTGTTGATTCAGGTTTCTCAGGATTCTAGATTGTCACCTCAGGTGCACATGACAACCAAAGATCTGCTGTTTTCTCGTTCATCCAATGTAGTATGTCTGTTTGGACCAGACCTAATCTTTAGTTTATGCACAGGATGCCTTCAGAGAAGAAATCAGCCAGAGATGTTTAGTTGTCTTTGAAACAGGCTTCTCTTGAATTTCAATTAATTCAGTCTGTTTCTTTCAGCACTGTCTAATTTTTTAGTTTTATGAAGTTATCCAGCTGATATTTGTTGCTTCAGTGATCCATTATACGTTACCTAGAAGCAAAGTCCTCCACCTGAACTTCAAGGGCTGATATTTATTAGAGCCGAAACCAAGGGCTTTCTATATATACTCATTAATTTTTCTATGTTATCTCATCTTCCTAAGACTCTTATATTTACAACTCAGGCCCCTTTTCTAAGTTATAGATTGTTATATACAACTGTTTATTTAATCTCTTGACTTAGATGTTAAAAAAGCATCTCAAATTCTCTAAGTCCACAATGGATCTCGTAGGTATTACCCCTCAAAGAGATCTGGTAAATGATACCAACATTAAGTTGTATAAATTAGAAGCATATAAGTTATCTTAGCTATCTCTTTCTATACAGTTCTCTATATCTAGTACACTGCCAATTATTGATAATTTTACTAAGTATCTCCTAAATCTATTGTTTACTATATATTGCTGCCACTAAATCACTCACCTGGAGTGTTGCAGGAGCCTCTTCCTTCTTGCCTTCTTCCAATTCATTATTCAGAGAGTGACTATTCTTTCACAAAAACTAAATCTAATTTTGTCACTTTCCTGCTTAAAATTTTTTGACTTCCCATTTACTGTAAAATTCTTAATAAACTTTTAAGTTCCCACCTATATATCTAGGTTTGTTTTGCAAGTCTCTCTCTTTCACACTCTATTTTCCATCCACAGTAGAATTAAGCTTCTTAGTTATAAAAGAGAGTAGTATAATTACCCCACATATACCCATCACCCAGCATTAATGATTGTCACCTCGTTACTCATTTCACCCGAAATCCCAGACAGCATACTAGTGAATTGATAAATATGTCAGTATGAATCTCTAATTTATCTCTTTAAAAAAAAAATCCCAAAATCATTTTCAAATAAAACCATTAATAATCATTTTATTTTAGTAGAATCAAATATGTACTCAGTGTCTATTTCTGTCTCTACTTCTCTTTTTTTTTTTTTTTGGATCAAGGTAAGGTCCATACATCTATAAGACTCTTAATATATCGATTTTCTATATAATCATTGTCATTAATTTTTTTTTTTAAATCTAGCTTATTTGCTCTGTAAGGTTTCCTGTAGTCTGAATCTTGCTGAATACATAGCCATGGTGTTGTTTAATGTGTTCCCCCTTCCCCCTATATAAATTTAGTTTTAGCGGCTTTTTCAGATTCACATTCAATTTTTGACAGGAAACATAGCTGGTTTTGTATACTTCCATCAGGAGTTTCATAATTTCAGTTGTCTATTTTTGGAAGCACAACAGTTATTAATTAATGACAAGTAATCAGTTATTGTCATTATTGTTTTAATGCTATTTCTGCCAAATGAGATCAAAATTCAACAGGTGCATAAAACAATTCTGTATATTTACCACTGAAACCCATGTGACTGGCGTAGTATCAGGCACAAATATTTTCAATACTTATTTAATTAAATGAATCAATGAGTCTGTATTCTATAATTTGCATTTTACGTATTTAGGACTCCAAACCAATCTTGACGTGCTGCCTCAAGAGGCCTGTGCCCATCACTTTCATAGCTAAATGTGATCTGCAGAAGCCTTGGCATATAAAGTTTCTGTACAAACCTCTGCACTAAGAGAGGGTCAAACTCCAGCATGACTTCCAGCAGCGTAAGGCTGTGTCCCTAGGATGACCCTATGCCTGAGAACGCTCCATGCTTCTAGGACAATTTACTGTTTGTTCTAGCCAACACCAGACAATAGGCCCTCGACCTTCCTTTCTTAGAACATTTACTAAAAAGATCTTATGGTTATGAATCCTTCTGTCTTTTTGAGATATTCATGTATCTCCTCCAGTTCAGGAGTGTCTTTCTGAAGGACCTGAAAGCCATTCCTCTGAAACATAATCATCAGGAAGGATAGGGCCTCTGTCTCCAATCTCTGAGGACAGGATCTCAACTTCAGTAACTACCAGCAAGCACAGCCACATTTACACTGACCAATCCTTTTTAAATTTCTCACTTATCTATATCTATTGAGGTCCTATTTGCCCTACATCCCCTTCCTTTGTCCATTCTCTCTTTAAAAGGCCCAGTTACCTCTGCCCAAATCTAACCAGAGCTCAGATCTTTCCCCTATTGTCAGAATAAACTCTGTAGTCATCACTTGAACCAAAGTCTAGCTGTGTTTATCTTTGACACAGGCTAAAATTATGTCATAGTTTATCCTGAAGAAGTTCTGATATGGTTCTAAGTCTACATAATTAACCCCATCATTTCATGTGCTAGGGATTTATGAGCTAATGTGCTTTCTTAAAACTTATAAACCTGCAATTTCATCTTCCTGTAGCTGGTTATGGGAATATGCTCAGTATGCTTCTTAGCTATAGCATTTTCTACCCAAACTAGACCAAAGACCTTTTTATTTTTTATCTCTGTCTAATGCTAAGCTGACTAAATATGAGCAGATCGTGGTCCTCTAGGAAAAGGTTTATGATGTGAGGGCCCCATTTTGGTTTAGAGTTAAGTAAGCTCAGTTAAATCTAAGGCTGTTTTTCTTTATTTAGCAGATCATTTCCATAAATTCAGATGTAAGTTTTTGTGTCTTTATTGCTTTTATTTTACTTTTTGTTATTTGAGCCACACAGTGGCAACTTACACAAAACTAATCTTTCCTAACCTCTAACTAGCTATCACTTATACTTTTCCCTTCATTTTCTCAGCTTGCAATAGAAGGTTCAAATTCAGAATAGGTCTAGTACTATACAACTGTAGGGCAATTCCACATTAAGTTGATAAATCATTCAGGCAGAACTCCTTTATCAAAAATACATTTACTTAAATCACAGTTTGCTTTGTGTGCAGAGGCACTAGGTTGGTTATGTAGCACTTACTAAAAAAATTTATCAAACCCAGATTTGTTTGAATGTACCAAAATATAGCCCATAGTAAAATGAAATAAAACATTCTATTTCTGGGGAATACAATGTTGGATAAAATATGATTATAACTCATCATCATATCATAAATGCTGAGTTCAATAGTGAAATAATTCCTGGTGTATTTCAAAATAGATATAATAAACCAAACTTAATATATATTTTGTTATAACTCTTGATTTAAAAGTGGTCGATATTGTCTACTACTGCCTGCACCTTCTCGCTAGGTCTCTCTTCTGCTGGTGAATTGATGGCAATCTCATATAGTGGAGATAAAGCCTTTGGTTTTGACCTGAGTTCCTAACTGAACTTCCTTGCTGGTGTCCCAGCAAATAGAGGTGGGCATTTTTTAAGTAAATAGATACTTTTTTGCTAGATAGGTGTTAGGCAA